CACACGAGAGGTCCGGCCGGTTTTTTCGTCCGCCCAGATGTGGGCCTGGGCAAACACTCCTCCGCCATTGTCTGGACGCATAAAAAATCGGACACCTGGAAGTGTCAAATTGTTCACTCGAGCTGTGTGAGCGGCCCGTGTGAATCCCAGCCTCGGGTTCTCACGGACTCTGTGTTTTCTCTCTGATTAACGTTATAATGCTAGTAACAAAGATAAAAATTGCCCATATTATATGCACAAGAGAAAGAAAATACACAGGTGTAACGTTTTCTGAAATATATAGGAGCAATACTAACATTTTTACTGAATAGAAGTCCTATTGTTGAAATATTCAAACAAAGTTTCTTCAACTTAAGTTTTATTCATCTGTGAATCAATTTACAGGTACAAGTTGCTTATGTTAAAGTTAATTTTATTTAATAAAAAAAAATGGATACGAAAGAGACCGCCAATGAAGCAATCAAGTGTTGAAGCTAAGCCGCAATTGTTTTGATTGCGAAGTTATGAACTGTTAAGTACCGGCGATCAAAACAAATGATATAAGTGTTGCGTGCGGCGAACAGCGAACAGCGAACGCGGCCAACGTGCTTACGTCATCGTACAGTCTCGCAAATTGTTCAACCACTAACCTAACCGCGGATTCAATGCAGACAAGCGGAACTGACACTGAATGGTCCAATACTGTATTATATCATTATATCATTTTATAATTCGATACATATTTAGGGTGGTTCGATTTCCTTTCTGTCTGCACGAACGCATACATATTCATAAGCGTGTTGTTTGAATACATGCAAGTTGTTACAGGTTACACCTACTTGATATTTATAAGTCTTTCGCGACTATTTGACTTATAGGTGAGACAGAAATAGAAACAATTTATTAAATGCATTAATTGCATGAAGGTTAATTAAAATCCAACAATGTTTAATAAATTTGACATCCAAAGCAACTGATACCAGTAAAAATATTTCCTAATCAATTTCGAACTTTACAATTTCTTTATGTCGTTGTTAAATGAAAATTGTTTAATATCCCACGTTTGTGAAAAATTTATGTTTTATTCGAAACAAAAATGCTTAATCAAAGGAACAGAAAATGAACATGGCAGCCAAAAAACAAATGTCAGTTACTTTACCGTTTTTTAAAAAAACAAACTAATTCCTAGACTACATATGCTACAAGTTTGCCTCTGCAAATAGAGTTCACTCAAAAAGGAATAACTAAACAAATATACCAATTGGGGCGCGCCCACAAAAAAGTAAAGGAATCGTCCTGAGATATCTTGGATTAGCATATTGATGGGCGCCGTCTATCTGTCGTTCTTTGTTTAAAATCAGCGACAGCACCTTCGATCATAACGATTTTTGACAAAAAGTCGTTTTATTTTATTGGCGGTTTTTGCCGGTTGCAACTGCAGGTGGCTGCCGACAAAAAATATGTAGCGTTCGGACAATATCGACTCATTATAAATAACTGCTTTTTGTTTAAAAGGTAGGAAATTTATTCGGTGATTTATAATCTGTCTGATTTGTTGTTTCAATGTGTATAAGAATTATATTCTGTGTTTATTATCTGCGTTGTGTATGTAATTGTGGTACCACTACTCGAGAATTTTTTGACACTTACTAGAAAATAAAAAGATACTTTACGAAAAAGGAAGAACAACTCAAACGTAATCCTTGATATCATTATGGTGTAAATTACAACTGAAATTGGCTTTATTATTGTTGTTTTAGCTTGTACATAACGGTAGTCAGTTTAAGGCTAGTGGTATGTTATGTTGTGCTGGTTATGACAGGCGACAAAGCCTCGCCGCGGGCACCTGCGCGACAGGTTTATGCGCAACTCCGCGCCAAATTTACAACCGGCCCACTAGCGCCGCCGCTCCGAGGAAATTGAAAATTTTTAATCACCGCGTCGGCGCCCTTTGCCAATAAAGCTGACCGCGCAGTTGAATCCGTCTCAATATACGATTCGCAGATTGTAAAATGTTTCTTTGTGAACGCCGCTGCATTACGATTCTCACTTACGCATTTAATAATGCATTTTATTATCGCGACACGTAATATCGTTACCGAAAATTCGGCGTTT